TGTTGATATTGCCATTGAGTAATAACGTTGAAGTTCTCGTGAATGATTCTCAGATCGAAATTCGAAAAGTCGATTATCACATTTTACCGCAAAATCGATTGCTTGACTCAAAGTTTGAGGATCAGGTAAGTTGAGCATCAATTTCTTTACTTCGTATTGCAATCCATAAAGAAATTGACTAATGAGTGCAGCATCATCCCATTTGATGTCAATTGCAAGTTGTCGAAATTGTGAAGCATACACTGTTACTGAGCGATTTCCTTGTCGCAGAATTCGGATCTTATTTGTTGCAACACGAGTTGCATCGTGTTCACCATACATAGATCGAAACTCCGCCAAAAAAGCTTCTAAATTGTCCAATATTGGATTTCGTTGTTCAAGAAAAGACGAAAACCACGATAATGCAGAACCAGAAAGTAGAGTGCCAATAAACCTGACTTGTGATCCTGGAGTTGGATAGCTTTGCGGTTGAAGTTCAATTGCCAATTGTACTTGATTGATGAACCCTCGAAACTTAGATCTCGTACCATCAAATTTCTCGGGTAAGGCAATTCTTGGTTCTCTAGTGCTTATAGGGTGTTGTACAATTGGAGAAGGAACGTGATTTGTTGTAGATGTTGAAGCAGCTCCGATCATCTCTATATCCCCACTTTCTGCTATTCTTGTTCTTTCATGTGTTGGTGAATTGAGTTGATGCATCGCAAGCATTAACTCCCTCATTTGCTCTTGCATTTGTGCCATTGCACTCTTCATTTCAACAAGCTCTGCCATAATGACACTAAGAAAAATTTGTTTGATACTGCTCAAGACAAAAGAAAAGAAAGACTTGATAACAAAGAAGATACTAAGAACAATATCAGTTTAGAAGTGGGTAATCCGCAAACTTCTAATACGCTTGTGTCTTGTCAAGAGGAAGGGGTAATCCACTCTCACTCAAGAAAAACAAAGCTCTAATATTGTAAGTGCACTCTTGTCAATCTGTCAAGGACAAAGAGTCGATGAGGGAAAATATACACCAAAAGGCTATCTCCATATAATAAGTCAAAATATAAACAAGTAGGTATATTAAAAGGAAACTGGAATGGCTATTGCCACAAGACAAGAAACTAAAGACTCTTGAACCTGGACTAGAAGCAAGAAAGGAGTTGACAAGAGTGAAGAAGCCTTCACTCTTGTCTCTATATATACTATCTAACTAGGGGCTACGTGGCGACGTTCTATAGGACCTCCAATATGTGTTGACTTTGTAGGACACATGCCTTGACTTACAAGGCAAGTTTTTCTACGTGTGGGCCACATAGTTAGCTTGATCTTCAAGCTAACAACATGTGTGGCACATGGCCAACTTGTTGACCACGTTTCTAATCCAAAAAGTCAATTAAAGACACCTATGAAGTCAAAGCAGCGTCTAGGAAGTTTCTAGAAAGCTTCTATATTAAATATTATAGAATTAACTTACTTTTATCTACTTTTACTTACTTCTATCTATTTCTATATGTAATTATTAGCTTACATGATTATGGCCATGACAGTAGTCTGCAATCTTCAAAATACAATAATAAAAATCAGATAGTCCATTCATTTTTAATACAAAATAAGGACAATAAATTAGAATTCTTCTCAAATTTTTAAAGATATGAATCTCAAAAAAAGAGTATTTCAATACACTCTTATATCACTTCAAAAGATTAAAAAATCACTCAGAGATAATAATATATTGAATTAAAATGACTATTATAAAAGACAAGAAGACGAAAAAGTCTCAAAACAAGTCTAAAGATTAGAAAGGCTTTAGTCTTGTCTTCATATATACTATCTAATTATGAGCTATGTAATAATATCTTATAGGACCACTAATATGTATCTAATTTGTAAGACACGTGTTTTAACTTATGAGACAAGTTTCTTATATGTATGCTACATTGTTAGCTTGTAGCACAAGCTATCTATATATGCTATATATGGCTAACTTGTTGGCCAAGTTTATAACCTATTAATCAACTGTAAATATATATAAAATCAAATATGTGTCTATAAAGCTTCTAAGAAGCTTTGCCACAAAATAATATCAAATCTATATATATTTACCTTCTATCTAGTACTTCTTATGTAGATAAATATGTATGTCCATAAAATCCAATTAGATTTGTATGAAAGAGAGCTAAAACTTTTGTGGCTTTGTTAAGGCTTATTGATAAGTATGGTTCTTTGCTTTATTTCTTGAATTGGCATAAAGAGCAAATTTTCATTGATATCGAGATATAAAGAATACATATTTCTAATCTAATTGAAAGCGTGTATAGACTCTAATTATTCAAATGTGTCATTTAACAATGCCAAGTTTAAGCTAATTATTTTGTGGATAAAGTCATGATATTGATTTCTACTAATATATCTCTCATGACTAATTGATATAAGATACTTTTTGGATTTTTGATCCCTTTAGCTATTAACTTTTTGAAATTCTTATTGAATAATATACATCTAGATGCATTAAATATATAATGTAGTCTAAATCAGTGAATGAGCCTATAAAAATTAGATTATTTAAAATTCTAGGAACATACAAAAACATCAAGTACCTTTTTATACTATGCCATTAACAGGTTGAAAATTTACAATACATTTTTCAACAATGGAGTATATGTGGCTACTTACTAGCTTATCTATTCTTTTGATACTATTTTCTAGGCTAATAAAGTTTATTTTTTTCTATAAATATACATGGTAGCTTTTATGTTGAGATATCATCTCAAATCCTATAGATTATCAATGTTAGCAAGAATTTTTCTATCAAATTTAATTAAGGCATTGTTAGATTTTCAATGTCACTAGCCATCAATTATGTAATGACTTGCTTCACTATTCTTATTGAAGAACAACCCTCCAAATCTACTCACAAAAAAATAAATCCATCTACGAAAAATACATAATCATCTTTTCCTTCATTAAATTTTTAGATGTAATTAGTAGAGTGGTATAAGAGAAATCATTAATATTGGCATCAAATGCACCATTAAAATTCATGAATAAAATTATTTGATTTAAATCTACAATAAAGAAGTCAAAGGTTTTCAAATTCATCAAAAATGTAAGCATTTAAAATATTACTAGTCTCATATGCTTGCCATGCACTATGCATCAAGAAGTAATCTTTGTTAGAGCTTTCATTTTTAAAATTAATAAAACTTTTGCAGTAAATAACTTCCAACATTAACATTTCAAAACTATAAACATTTGATTCATTTATTGTTTTATTGATGTAAATCTATAAGTTACTAGTCAAACACTCTAAAAACTACATTTAATATTATTTTTGATATATGTAAATTTGAACTTTAAAATAAATTAGCTTAAATTACTATATGTAAAAATAAGCTATTTAAGCAATATTTTGTAAAATTTTAAGGTATTAATGCAAAACTAACAGCAATAGAAGTTACAATATTAAATGATAACTTAGTTCAAATCTTCATAAAAGTAATACTCAATAGTTATTATCATTTCATGCAACATTATATTGCTAGAAGAAAGACATGAATCTTAAAGAATTGAAAGATTAAGACATGAATCAAGACATGAATTCTTTAAGATTTGTGTAGATTTAAACCAAATATTTTTATTCATGTCAAGGACATGAATCTTAAAGAATTAAAAGATCAAGACACTCTTGTGTCATTCAAAAAGAATAGATAATCATTCAAAGATGATATAATATTAAACTACAATGGCTACTACCAAAGACAAGAAGATTAGAAAGTCTTAAAATAAGACCAAGGACTGGAAAGGTGTTGACAAGAGATAACTTATCTTTCTTAGAAGATTTGGAAATTTCGACAAAGGCACCTTCAAATGCAATTGAACCCTCACTTATGCAAGAAAGCATAATTTGCAATCCATTTGTCTCATGTTAAGTAATAGATATTTGGTCAAGAATTGTATCAAGGAATTTGCATATTTATAAATTATTTCCAATTCTTCATGATGTTGCAAGTTCCAAGCTTACAAACATTTACACTTGCTCTTTTATCTTACCAACCAATGTAGAATCACCTTTGGTCAAATCATTCTAATCCATGTTCCAGATTGGTGTTGCTTATTATCATTCTGCCAATTTTTTTCAACTCACTGAATTTAGATTATAGAACATGTTCTCCAGAACGCTATTTTTTTAGATCCGCCCAGCTCAACATTACAAGCCATCATAAACGGAACCCCACTTACAAGGTGGACTAAAACCAACAGCATCAACTGATTTGATGACGAAAAACCTCAACCTTCTACAGCATAAATTGGGCTGTAGAATCCAAAAATGACCCACATGCATCCACGGGGTAGGAAGGAGTAACAAATGGAGATTGAAGTAAAAATACAAAAAACGAATAAAAAAAACAAAAAAAACAAAAAAAAACTAATAATTAAAAAGAAGAAGAAAAGGTGCGGTTATAGGCTCTACAATGACGCGGCAATGAGAGCCAGAGAGGGAGGGACATGACGCAAAAACAAGTTCATCGCTGTGGCGATGGGGTGCTGATGAGAAGCACCGGGTCCGAGGCCGCGACGCCCGGGCCTGGCGAAGCCACCCGCGATGGGTCAGCAATCACCTCGTCACTCACTCACCATGACGACGAGGAGGAACTCACGTACTTGTTGCTAATCACGAGTTGCGGGCTCCCACCTGATCGCTTCTTCTTCTTCAATTTCTTCTTCATCTTCTACATCGGATCGGCGCCGCATCTTCACCCGTGCGTGGCGATCCTCGGTTTCCATGCTGCTGGTGACGGCGTTGCTATTGCAGGCCGATGCGTGTTGGTGATTGGTTTCTGTGCCTCTCTCTGGTGCAGTGCGACTGCTTGTGACGTTTTCCATGTGTCCACGGTACAGGGGTTGGAGCGACATCGTGGGTTTCCATGTGGATGAGATTTCAGTTCAGTTGGTGGATGGAGGTTCAGCGCTGCTTCGATGACCACGGTTCTGTTATTGCTGGGTGAGATGCTGGATGTCGCATTTGCAACTATTTTAGTGTTTTGATCGCAGACGCTGCTGAGATGTTAAATGCGATTACGTTTACGTGTAGCTTGTGGAGTTGATGTATCAGAAGAGTTTTACTGGGGAGGTTTTAAGGCTGAGTTGGGGTTAGGATTGAATTGCCTTTAGAACAAGAAGGGAAAAGTTGTAGTATTTCGACGTGCACTGAATTTGACTGGACGATCAAAACTCCTTCCAATCGATCGTGTGTGTGTTTCCGGTTAATCCGAATCTATGTTCTGAAAATTAATGTAGACTCAAGACCCAGTGCAGCAATTAATCCAACTGAGCGTTGTTCGAGCATACTGTTGAAAACTGTTGAAAACTCATCAAGACTTCATGTCTTTCCGACGCAATGCAGGAGAGTCAGTTGCAGTGCCAACGATGGAGCTGGCATGTTCGCTGGGGATGAGATATTTTTAAAAATTAAAAATTAAAAAGAAAACGAAGTAGAATATCTAGTCGCGCATGTTCCATTCATGACATATTTCTAGGAGGTCCTATTCAGATAAGTTCTCGAGGATACTCGTTCGAAACAATGAACTCGAACCCGGCGTGAGGTGGATGCTGTTGTCAAGGAGAATCTCAATTTGCACATACTGTGTGTGTGAGCCCATCAGTCAGCTTTGGCCGTCGAGTGATTCCTATCTTGCAGAAATTCTTTTATAGCAGGTCGGGCGATACTGTAAGGGTACAGTCTGCTGCCGCTTGTGGAAAGCTTGGGGTGAAGAACCCAGTAGGCATGGATTTCAGAGTAGGCCTTTTTGACGCCACCTTTGTGCCTCTAGGATTCATAATCCTTCTGTCGTATCAACTATTCTTGTATTTTAGAGTGCGGTATGCACCCATGCGCACAGTAATAGGGGTGAACCACCTTGCCAGACGACATTGGGTTGAGAGTATGATGAAGGTAAGCCCACCTACAAGTGGTTTGATTGGACATTTCAGAGCAAATTTTGAGTCATATCACACCGTTTTACGCTGGATTCGTTTGAACAACTCTGAGCAGCAGCAGGATCTGCATGATATAAGTGATCTGGCCGCTGCCACTGTTGTGAATCCTCCTTTCCCAGGTCGAGGGAATATTTCTGGAGAACGTTACTGCAGGCTAGAATAATGTTCCTTGAACAGTTGTCTTTTTCATTTGTTTATTTTGTGGTGCCATCCACTTCAACGAGCTCTGTAACCCATTCAAGTGATCGATGGCTTTGGTACTTCACCTCTCTACACGGTGTTACAATTCATTCTCAGTCCATTGAATGTCTCCTACTAGTTCAAGAGGGTCATCGAAGAGCGAGAGCTCTCATCTTCACATGTTTGCCACTTCGTTTTTGTCTGTTTCTCGATGAATAAGCACTTTTCTCATATACTATGGAATAACTGAAAATTCTCAGGATCTCTTATGTTTTTTTCTCCTGTGCTGTAGGACAATGACAAGAACAACATCCTGGCGGTTCAAACTCTCCGCAACACCACCATGGGGTCCACGATCATGGCATCCTGATGTTGTCCGCCACTGCTGTCTTCATTAGCAGTGCGCACTTCAACACCACGGAACCGCTCTTAGGCGCCAGAGACCCCACACTGCGATGCATCAAGTTCATAATCCGCATGGTCTGCTTCCTGCTCTCAGTCCTCACCTTCATGAAGTCTGTGCGGTACATCAACCACGTGAACTTCCTCATCAACGTGCCACTTCAGACTCTGCGCTGCCCCCCAGAATACGTCTCGACAGTGCTAGCCAAGGGATGCAACTTCCACACAGTCGGTATACGAGCGTTCTACTTTGTCTGCCCCCTGTTTATGTGGCTCTTAAGTCCCATAGCAATGCTGTGCAGCTGCACTTTTCTTGTGCCGTTGTTATACTACCTCGACGTCAGTGGTCTTGACCAACAATAACTATAGTAGAGAAAGGTCATCCACGGCTAGTGTAGCTTATCTGATCACCGAAGTAAAGCTCAGACAAAAAAACATTCTCACGACATCGCTCTTCGAAGTCCAAGCTCCGTTTTCAAGCTTCGATCCATGTAACAGCTTCATCTGGTATCAAGTTGGTGGAAGCCATGCTAGCATCGTCTCCGAGACTCATGTGTACTAAAAACCTTGCCTCAAATGTTGCCTCAAATTTGTAGAGCATTACTTGCTGCAGAGTTGTGTGCAAAGCCTGTGTGAAGAATGGACCCACTGCGTCAGAAACTCAGTTTGAATGTGGTGTGCATATGCACATGTGCCTTATTGAAATGTTACAATGTATTAAAAATACCATGTATAAAATATACAAAGAAACGCCTTCATGGGCATGGTTTTGTGAGGGTTTAGTCTTCAGGGTTTTAATCTCAAAGTGATGAATACAGTAAAGGCAAACATGGTTTTTATAAAGTTTTCTTTTTGCCTTTTCTATTTTGTTTTTTTGTTTTGCTCAATTGTGAAAATAGTACATGATAAGTTTCCATTTTTGAAATTATGATCTGCGTCTTGAAAGCTTTGGCTCTGAAATATAAAAACTCCATCTTTTTTATATATATTTTTACAAGGAATGAGTGGTGTGTTCAATTTACAATGATTTGAGGCATTGCACATGTTTGGGATTGCAAAAAACTCAACAGTTGCGATATTTTTTAAATTGTCCGCTTCACAATAAATGTATAATTATATTTAAATTATTATTTTAAATTTTTTTTCGTAAATCAAGTTGAAATTGGATAAAATTTTTATCCTATATTTACATGAATTTAAATCCACAGTTTGTACATAAAATATGAAATTAATCAAAATATAATTAATTAAAATCAATCTAAATTTCTCAAATAAAAATAAACCCATATACTAGTTGGATTGAGCTAAAATTATTATTTCGATTTTAATCTTTAACGTTTTTACTTTTTAAAAAAGTAGAAGTAAAATCGCAGCATAAAAATTACTGTAAACCAGAAGAAAAAACCAAGAAAAAAGAAATCGAAGTAATTTAAATTGTCGTGATAAATTAAAAATATATCTCCCTCATTGTTGAGAACCTAACCACATCAAAAACTTCTGAACTGATTATCAACTTTGATAGAAAAATAACACAGAAAATTGTGAAATTGAGAAAGCCAAAAAAAAAAAAAAAAAAAAAAAAAACACACACACACACACACACACACACACCTCAATCTCACATGCATAACACCGCATTTCTGGAACATTCCGCGGTCAGCTCCAGCCGCAGTCACAGGGGCGGAGAAATATGCAACGAGGGACGGATGGATGAATTATTTCATCCATCGGCCATCCGATAACTTCATGAGTCCAAAAGCAGATAGATGAATGTACTGCGGAGAACGTAAAACGAAAACTGGATAAGTGGATGGATGAATGTACGATCCCATCGTGCAACGGAAAGCACGCTGACTGTACATCAAAGACAGTGGGAAACGTGGTACAGCCAAATCCCACGTGGTCATATGGGATTGAATTCCACTTCCCCTCCTTCTGACTCATTGCGAGCTTGGCTCATTCTGAGCGTTACGCGGAGCCTCGAGAATTCTGCCATGTAGGACCCCGCTCCTGACAGCTCGACATGCTCTTTGCCACCTGCTCGTTGACGTGGCACTTCCGTTTAAAGGCGGATGTAAATATAACAAAATAATTTCATCCATTATTTTTCATTCGTCGGGCTGGGGCGGATTGGGTTATTAATCGCGGTGTTACTTTGTGTGGTGACGCATGCTAGCTTGCTTTATCTCTTGTGGATTTGGCTGATAATTTTGTTTTCATTTATCTGTTTTTTTTTTTTTTTTTTTTTATTATTTTATTTTATTAACTTCTTTTATCCACATCTTCTATAACTCACCCACTTTTCTTTATTTAACTCTTATTCATGTTTTCTCATCTGTGTACATTTAAGTTATATGTTTCTTGTGGGGACGATTCTTATTTTACTTTTTTGTTCATTCATTTTGTGTCTTTTGTAAAACTAAATTCTAGTTTGACATTTGTCTGAACCACAATAGCAGGTGGCACAAGTATGGTGAATTGGCTAAAGAATACAATCATAGCAAATGATCAAAGTAAATCATGAGAAAAAGTGGACGCAAGTAATGTGGTGGAATACCATCATTGTCTATTAGGTTATTCTAATCCAATCATGTTTTTTGTGGTGATCTTAAAAATATAAAATATTTCATGTCAACATACATCTTAAATTATTGCCAAATCTATTAAAAGATATGTTTTTTTATAAATTTTTACTTAAGGATATTTATCATTTTGGAAAATAGGAAGACAATAAAGAATAAAAAATAAAGAATATTTATTATATGTCTTGTCTAGATTATTTTTTTCTTTTTCTTTTTCTTTTTATTTTTTTTGCAATCTTGCATCAAAAGTATGAGATACTATATATAATCAATGACAAACAATTCTTTCGAAACCAAGGCAATTACATCTTTGAGTTGTAAAGTCAACTATTTCAATTAACTCTCATTTTTTTGATAAATGCTTATTCAAAGATAAAAATAAAAATAAAAATAAAACATAATTGTATTTTTTAAGTTAAAAATAACTTATACATATATATATATATATATAAATATATATATATATTGTCACAGACATACATATAATTACCTATATGAATAGATAAAAGTATGTAAAAGTAGATAAAAGTAGGTTAATTGTGTAATATCTTCTAGAGAAGCTTCTTAGAAGCTTCATAGACGCTGCTTTGACTTTACAGGAGTCTATAGTTGACTTTTAGGCTAGAAACTTGGTCAACAAGTTAGCCATGTGCCACACATGTTGGAAGCTTAAAGAACAAGCTAACTACGTGGTCCATCCATAGAAAACTTGCCTTGTAAGCAAAGGCATGTGGCCTAGAAAGTCAACATATATTGGAGGTCTTATAGAACATCGCCATGTGGCTTTTAGTTAGATAGTATATATAGAGGCAAGAGTGAAGCCCTCTTCACTCTTGTCAACTCCTTTCTTGCTTCTAGTCCAGGTTCAAGAGTCTTTAGTTTCTTGTCTTGTGGCAATAGCCATTCCAGTTTCCTTTTAATATACCTACTTGTTTATATTTTGACTTATTATATCGAGATAGCCTTTTGGTGTATATTTTTCCTCATCGAGTCTTTGTCCTTGACAGATTGACAAGAGTACACTTACAATATCAGAGCTTTATTTTTTCTTGAGTAAGAGTGGATTACCCCTTTCTCTTGACAAGACATAAGCGTATTAGAAGTTTGCGGATTACCCACTTCTAAACTGATATTGTTCTTAGTATCTTCTTTGTTATCAAGTCTTTCTTTTCTTTTGTCTTGAGCAATATCAAACAAATTTTTCTTCTTAGTGTCATTATGGCAGAGCTTGTTGAAATGAAGAGTGCAATGGCACAAATGCAAGAGCAAATGAGGGAGTTAATGCTTGCGATGCATCAACTCAATTCACCAACACAGGAAAGAACAAGAATAGCAGAAAGTGGAGATATAGAGATGATCGGAGCTACTTCAACATCTACAACAAATCACGTTCCTTCTCCAATTGTACAACATCCTATAAGCACTAGAGAACCAAGAATTGCCTTACTTGAGAAATTTGATGGTACGAGATCAAAGTTTCGAGGGTTCATCAATCAAGTACAATTGGCAATTGAACTTCAACCGCAAAGCTATCCAACTCCAGGATCACAAGTCAGGTTTATTGGCACTCTACTTTCTGGTTCTGCATTATCATGGTTTTCGTCTTTTTTTGAACAACGAAATCCAATATTGGACAATTTGGAAGCTTTTTTGGCGGAGTTTCGATCTATGTATGGTGAACACGATGCAACTCGTGTTGCAACAAATAAGATCCGAATTCTGCGACAAGGAAATCGCTCAGTAACAGTATATGCTTCACAATTTTGACAACTTGCAATTGACATCAAGTGGGATGATGCTGCACTCATCAGTCAATTTCTTTATGGATTGCAATACGAAGTAAAGAAATTGATGCTCAACTTACCTGATCCTCAAACTTTGAGTCAACCAATCGATTTTGCGGTAAAATGTGATAATCGACTTTTTGAATTTCGATCTGAGAATCATTCACGGGAACCTCAACGTTATTACTCAATGGCAACATCAACATCTTTGCCAAACGTACATTCGGAAGTAGAAGACATGCAAATTGCCGCGGTACGTTTTAAACCTCTAACTCAGCAAGAAAAGATTCGTCGTCGTCAAGAAGGATTATGTTTATATTGCGGAGAACCTAAGCACACTGCTCAACATTGTCCAAAGAAACGACGCAACTATAAAATGAGGGGTACGACGGTCAAAGAAGACAACATGTCGGAAAATGGATTCGTCCAGCTACAATAGGGACCGTGCAGCTGGAACCTTGTATAATTCCTAATGAAGGTCCTATCCTCTCCTCAGAACCCTCTTCTTGTTTTATAATAGACTTATATTTAGGACCTAAGAATTACAAAGCCTCTGCTTTATTAGATTCGGGAGCCTCAGCATGTTTTTTAGATGAACAATTTGTTAAAAGTCGTAAAATACCCTATGTACAGAAACCTAAACCAGTACATGTAGAAGTCATAGATGGTCGTCCCTTGTCTTCTGGAGATGTCACTCATGAAACTCATCCTATAAAAGTAACAATAGACGGTCATGATAGCTACATAGCTTTTAACATAATTAAATCTCCGTCTAATCCAGTTATTATAGGTTTATCATGGCTAGAAAAATATAACCCTCGAATAGATTGGAATTCGCGTAAACTTGACTTTTCCAAAAGCGTTATTAATAGTTCTACGAACCAAGTAAAAAATTATAAGTCTAGTATAGTAAAACCCGTACTGATAGGTGCAAAAGCATTTATACATGCAGCAAAAGAAGGATCAACTTTTGCTATTTATGCTGCACCTATTTCTGAAAACGTAAAGACTTCAAGTGGCATTCCAAGTCAATATCAGGAGTATCAAGACGTTTTTGAGAAAAAGAATGCAGATATTCTTCCTGAGCATCGTCCATATGATTGTTCAATCGACCTCAAGGAAGGAACTCAGCCACCATTTGGACCAATTTACAGTTTATCGCTAGATGAGATGGCTGAACTCAAGACATATATTGACGAGAATTTAGCGAAGAATTTCATACGCCATTCAAAATCTCCAGCAGGAGCTCCAATTCTATTCGTAAAGAAAAAAGATGGATCTTTACGAATGTGTGTTGATTATCGAGGACTCAACAAGATCACAATCAAGAACAGGTATCCATTACCTTTGATATCAGGACTCCTTGACCAGTTGAATCAAGCTAAGATCTATACAAAAATAGATCTAAGAGGAGCATATAATCTAGTACGGATCAAAGAAGGAGATGAATGGAAGACTGCGTTTCGAACCAGGTATGGACATTTCGAATATAATG